GGAATTGTGATTTCGTGGAAACTGTTTTTAAGGTACTTAGAGATGTCGGATTGAGACATGTGGTAGTTCGTTGGAAAGATATACATGTCTACTTTGATTTGAAGTTAATTTTGGAATTTTTAAAGACAAAAAGAATATCTTATGAATTTTCTTCTAAAGATGGACGATCAGTGAAATTCCAATTTCAGGGGAAAGTGATTATGAGTTAGAAATTGATTTATGGCTGAGCTATTGAGCTCTAATGACGGTGGCCAATTTGTCTATTTTGAACAATGAAAAAGAAAACGAGCAAGGGAAACGAAGAAGGTTAAACGCAGATTTTGCTAAGCAACTCAGGTAAGTGGAGTTTGACTTCTCTGCAACACTTACAAACTTTGTTTGATAGACTTTCTATGGAATGTCTAGTATGCCATTATATGAATTTTTATGACATTGTCAATGTGTATGATTGTGAAGATTACTTGTAATTGAGTACATAACAACATGCATGTTAGGCCGGTACTGCCAAGTCCTCAAAGGACTTCTAATGTGATGTAGTGATTGATGAAATTGTGATTGAGCCGCACAAGTCTCTCGAACCAAGTGGGTGATGACAGAGACTATATTGTGATATTGAGAAATTGTGATTTTGAATGCGCTGGCCGTTCCCTCGAACCAGGTGGGTGATGACGGGGAACCTGATATTGTGATTTGAAATATTGGCATGTGGCCAGATTGTGAAAAAGCCGGCGGCAGTACCGGGAGGGCCCTAGTGATATGTAGTGCACGTGCATAAAGTGTAAGATTGATTGGCATAAGTTACCTATGATGTTGCAATGTGTGAGCATGTTAAAATAAGATTATGTGATTGTAGCTCTACTTACTGAGCTTGTAGCTCATTAAAGTTTGCTCTGTGCTGTAGGTAAAGGTAAGAACAGTAAGCAGGGGAGCTGGCTTCGTTGACCGCTGTACATATGATTGAACCAAAGAAGCTGTACACAGATTATTTTGTGTCTGTAAACATATATATTTTGGAGTTAGACTTATAAACCTTGGATGACTGTATAATTTTAATTATAGCTAGGAAACCTGATAGGAATGGTGTATTAATGAAATTTTGTTTAAGCAAAAAAAAAAAAAAAACAATTGAAACACCATAGTTTTCACATAAGTGACAGGTGAAGGTTAGTGATTGTGGCACGCCCTAGGATTGTTAGCAAGGAACTAAAACATTTGAAGGAGATGGTATATAAGGGGTGTCACAAGAGTTGTAAGAGAAAAAGGAGGAAATAAAAATTAAGAGAACCACCGATGTTTGTATGAGAAATCAAGAAGAGTTGTAAGAGAAAAAGGAGGAAATAAAAATTAAGAGAACCACCGATGTTTGTATGAGAAATCAAGAAGAGTTGTAAGAGAAAAAGGAGGAAATAAAAATTAATCGAATAAGTGTTTTGAGAGAATAGAAAGAGTGCAAAATTAATAATAGTATTTCTCTATATTTGTCTTTTTATTTTATTATTTATTTACCTTACCTATATAATAGTATATATATCTCCAATTTATAACACCTTATCAGTATGAATTGCTCTAAAAAAAGTAAATTCTATTAGTATTATATACTATAGTTGCACTTATATAGTCATATTGTTAATGTAATATAATTTAGTTTGCTTTGTTTTTCTACTCATTAATTTTTGGTTTATTTGTTTTGTTTGTTGACTTTGTTATGCTATTTTCGTTACATATTGTTTTGTGGATCATGAACGGCAAGTGACATAATCTTTTAATTCTATTATTATTTCCTTTATATTCGGTACTCTATTTGACAAGCTAACAAGTATTCACAAATCTGATTTATTTGTTGACTAACTTGCCTTATTTCCACCACCACTTGTCAAAGAAATTCGTTTGTGCCAAGTTCCATAAAGCTTCCCAAGAACTTGCCGTAGAGTCACTGCCATAAGTTATAAAGTCTATATATACTCCATAGGCTAAGAGTTCAATGATACGCCTTCTTCATTTTCTTTTCTTCATATTGCTTCTGCTTCCTAAGGCTCAAGACGTTTGTTCACTATTTATTCAGAGTTTTCTAACCAACACTTTTATACAAGTGTATACGTAGCCTCTGATATTTATATTTTATGTGCAATTGTTCTTAATTTTCATTATTATATTTGCATACTAACCTTTTTAAATATCTAATATTGTTCCTGCAATATTTAAATTCTTAAGTTTAATATCATTATTACTATCTATTTAAATTCTTAAATTTAATATTATTTTACTATCTGTTGGTTAATTTTGGTTAATTATTATATATCTTGTATATGTAGAAATATTAAATTAAAAATTTTTATGTGCATCTCTATCTCACTTGATGCTTGTTAAGGTTAAATTTAGTTCCTCATTTCTCACTGTACATGTGTCATCA